CAATAAAATTGATTCATGTTTGTGGCTGTAATGTGACAAAATGTGGAAAAGTTCAAGGGGGCCGAATACTTTTGCAAGCCACTGTATCTATAGCTCAGTATACTCACTACAGTATCCACCACTCGGCAAGTATGTGAATCTAGATATGACTTAGGGGGAGTGTTTACAATTCTAGTGTTTGCTTTATGCTACAAAAACTACTATGTCTGTGATGAAGTGCAAACATATGGGGGAAAAATAGAAAACATTTTTTTTTTAACAATTTCCCATTGACTACGGTAGTGAATGTATACTTAAACCTTACATCATTCTTAATTTTTTGCATAATTTTCCATTGGGTAATACAGAGACCTGACAGACAAGAGAGTCTGAAACCTGAATAATGTTGTTTGCTGTTCTGCAAATATTTAATCAGGCTCATATTTGAAAGTCAAAAAGTACACTCTAACTGACAAATGATCAACCAGGCTGTTCTAAAAATAGACTGCAGGGTGGAGCTAGTTACGCCATATTTTTAACCCCCTTATAAAACCTAGGCAGCTTTCTCCTAGTCTTCAGTTACAGTGGCATTGTTGAGCTTTTCCAGGCGCTTTTGTCTGCCAACAAGCACAATCTTCTGTTTTCCAGTAGAGATAAAAAAAAAAATTCAAATAGCAGTTAGTAAGCAGATTGTAATGGTTAGGATATTTGATACTGGAAAGGTTTAGGAAAACAAACAATGTAAAGCTAATGCATTTATAGATTTTAATATCTTGTGTAACTAATTCCTGAAAACGTCCTCATACAGGTAAGCACTGAGCTTTAGACACTCCCATTTTTTTTTTACCTCTTGCATCACCCTGAGGCTTTAGCTGGCTTTATAAATTTACACACGAACAGAGTCCCGGCAAATGAGAAGGAGAGAGTATGGGATGACTATAGGGAGTACTTGAGAAACACCAGACAGCTCATGGTCAGCTGTCTGATGGGAAAGAAATAAAAACATATATATCACCTTCCAGAAAACTACACGGATTCTACTTTATGTCTGGCAATGAGACGGCAATTCTGCAACAGCTGGCGATTTTAGGTAACATTTTGCAAAACTTCTTTAACATGAGTCAAGCATGTTGGCATTCCATGTTTCATTGTCTGTAAATGTCAAAATGAGTCTAACATCTGTGGCAATATGCTTTTTATTAGTAATTATGTTCTGACTGCATACTCTAGCTGCTGTTAATGTTAGCTAAAATGTGACTTAGCTGCTCACGAGGACAGATTATTAGAGGGAGAAGACCCTTGCCCCCCTGTTCCATGCTCTTCTATAATGACATACAAATGTAGTTTCAAATCTCTGAGTTGCATTTTCGTCTTTAAGGTTAATGTCTGTCTTTACAACTTGGGCATTTCTGTAGATTGAAAAATGGTGGCTATACTTCAGTATTTATTTGACACTTGTACACAGTTATTCTACTAAATACTGCAACACACTATTTAAATGTATATAATGAAAACATGTCTAATAGATTATACTACAATCCAACAACCAAACATAGCTATTGTTAACTACTCTGCCTTCATCTATGTTTTTTTTTTCTTCCCTTACGCAGTGGTATGTCATGACTTAGCAGTGGGTCAGATCTCTTCTTATTACTTCCTAGTCCAAAGACCTATGCCATGGGTCAAAGCCCAGGAGTTCTGT